ATCAGGGTGTGGCAGAGTTGTTTCTTCTGAGGCCTCTATTCTTCATGTATAGATGGCTGTCTTCTCGGTAGATCTTCACATCATCTTCCCTCTGTGGGCGTCTGTGACCTAATAGCTTCTTTTCATAGGGGCCTCGGTCACGAAGCATGGCGCGCACGTCCTCATCCTCCGTCAGGCCTGCGGGGCGGGAGGCCGGGGTGCACTAGAGCCTCGCCCCACTGGGACCTCCTTCCTCCCTGCTCCCCGCGAGAGCTGTGGCCTCCCTCTCTGAGCCTCTCCGAACCCACACAGGCCTCTCCCTGCGGAGCGGAACGTGCCCCGATACTGGGTTTGACTTGAGGCTTGGAGTGCCTCGCCCAGGTCCCCCTGGGAGGGGTGCCAGTCCCCGCCAGGCAGTGGTCTCTGGAGGCCCTGGAGCAGAACAGCCCCGGGGCAGGATAAGGGACTTAGGCCTCCCTGTCACTCCTCCAGCCTGCAAGCCCAGAACCTGTCACCCGCAGCCTTTTCACTTACTGGAAACCCTGACCATCGAGAAAGCTGCCTCACTATCTAACCTAAATCTCTCTTGCTGCAACCCAAGCTCCTCACCTCTGCTTTCCCGACCAGGGAGGACGCAGAGGCCACTGTGGCTCTGGGGTCACAGACCAAGGCCTCCAGGGCCTGCCTGGCTAAGAGGAGGCTGATCTGGCATCTGTGTGCCCTGGTGGGGCCCCGCTGCAGGCATGGTCTCCTGTGATGTCTGGCATTTGCCCAGCCTCTATGACAACCCCATGTCTCCCCTCGGCCCACAGGTCCCCTCCCGTTAGTGTCCACCTTCCCTGTGTTAGGGGCAAAAATAGAATGTTGGGGACTAGCCATGGTTGTGGGAAACACTAATCACGCCCTGTTAGCCGTGACTGCCTTGTTCTGGTTAAAGGACATTCTAACCTGGCTGGGAGCTGTACACCCGCCCCCCACCCCCCCACACACACACACCCGGGAACCTGGGAGTCAACCTTGGACCTGGGAGTCAACCTTGGAATGGGGTCCATTCTCATTCAAGAACCGCCTGTTATCGTGCCAAGATTAACAACCTTGTTACCCAGACAAACAATGGAGTCCCACCCCAGACTGCATAGCTGACTTCCTCCGGCCTGTAATCCCCACTTCCCCATGTCATCTCTGTCCTCCTGCCCAATATGCACAGCTGGCTTACGGGAGGGGGGTGGGCTGCTCTCCCATGTTGTTGGCGTTATTGGAATAAACGTTCATATGTGACTCAACCCTGTCTCTGCTGAACTGGCTCAAGTAGTGACCGGCAGCCTGGACACCTTGGTCGTCTGGTTTCCTTAAAACAAAATGCGTACAAAGCACCTACTGCACACACTCCCGGCCCTGCTCATGTCCTCACACACAAGGAAACAAGCTTCAGTCACTGGCCAGAATTCTCCCCCCCCCAACCCCCCCAACCCCCCTCCTACCGGCTGGAATTCTAAGAAAGTGGTGGAAATATGTGCCCTCGGCTATGAACTGAACCTTTCAGCTCCTATCCTCCTCCTTCCTCCCCCGCCTCCACCAATACCTGGTCATGGGAGGTAGGAGGGAGCAGAATTTAATTAGTTGTTTATTTTATATTCAATTTATTTTAACTAAAGAAAAGTTCGCCCATTTCTCCTACCCCTGCTCTCGGCAGCATGTTCTCTGTGCATAAAATGGAAATGTCAGTAATACCTGCTAACAACCCAAAATCCAGCCAAGACGCTGCCCATCCTGGTGGTGCCACACCCTGCCTGCTTGGATCCCCTCAGCAGGGGTCAAAACCGGAGACTGAAGAGCCCAGGACAATGGAAGGGGTGGGAGCTGGACAAACAGTAGGGCCCCGCCCTCTGGAAAGGAGGGGGCCAGCCAGAGGTGGACGAGGGCCCAGTTTCCAGAGAACCGGAATCTGGATTTGTATGTGAATCCTCCAGATTTTCCAATGTTGGCAACTAAATCAAATTGAAGCAAACAAACAAAAACCCCAAAATGCTACCATGTGGGCCAAAGGAAACAGGACTGTGGGCTTCTCTTCCTCCCTCTATTTCACTTAACAAGCCCCCAAAGCCAGGTTGGGCTTTGGGCTTTGTGGGCCCAGGCCCCTGCCTGCCCACCTGCAAACTCTGACCTCTCACTCTCTCCTGGAGCCTTTGTACTGTCCTTCTCCTTCCTCTTCCTCATTCCAGAATCCTTCAAGGTCCAGCTCAGACATGACCTCCTCTGGAACGTCTTCCATAATTTGTCCTCACATGGGAGTTCTCCCTCCCTGACCACCAACGTTTTACTTTAATTAAAACAAACAGACGTCCACCTACATGGCAATCTCCGTGGACTTCCGTGAACCCAAGGGCAGGGATGAGACCAGTCTCCTAACCCCAGTGCTTGTCCTAGAGCCAGATTAGCAGGCAGTTTTCTGAAAGGGGAGGCGGATGGACAAACAGCGCTACCTCCAGCCCGGCCTCTTCCACCCCCAGTTCAGAGCAGAGGCCTGTGGGTCTGGGTTTCTCAATCCTGGCTGGGCATCAGTACCACCTGCGGGAGGTTGCAAAACCGTGGCCCAGCGATTCCCATCAAGCAGGTGTAGGCTGGAGCCTAGGCGTCTGTGTGTTTAACAACCTACCCTGTGACTCTGAGGGCAACTGTGAGTGAGAATCAGGGCATCAGAGGCAGGAGGAGAAGCCTGCCATCTTTAGGAGGCGAAGGTCCCCCTGGAGGCCAACCCTGTGGCCCTAATGGCTCCACGGTGTTTCTCAGGGTTTAGACTGTGGCCCTCTGGAAGGGGCAGTGCCCACTTGGTGCCCCCTAGGCTGGAAGGAGAGGTGGAAGGTAGCATGGGCCAGGCCAAGAGACTCACCAGACCCTCAGACCCCTATTCCCACCTCTGGGCAACCTATGAATTCTCTCATCCTGAGAAACAACGGGGTAGGTGCAGGACAGTCAGGGAAACCGCAGGGCCACCCCAACTGAGCCCACCCCTCCTCCACCTGCTCTGCTGTGGGAATGGCCCTGCAGTCCCACGTCTGCCAGACTCTGCAGATGCGGCCACCTCCCCTGATCTGGCCAGCCCTCCGATGCCAAGTCCATGGTTGGGGGGTGGGTGGGGTGTGGTGGGGTGGAGAGGAGGGGGTAGTGAATGACTAAGGCCGGAAATGGAGGTGAGTCATGCAGGGCCTGCTCTGTCCAGTCTTCTGCAAACAGGACAGGGCGACAGGCAGCCTGGGCTCTTGACCAGCCTCCCACTGGGACAGGTTCTCATGCTGAGGGGGCCCCTGCTCCTGGCCCTCAGCCCCAGCTCCCCATGAACCTGTTGTGGGAAGGGGTGACATTCCAGTCTGTCCACCCAACTGGTACTGGTCCCTGGGTCACACTACCCCCAACCACACGCCCAGTGGAAAAGCCAAAAAGAATGAGGGAGCAGGGCCAGGCTGGGCCGGGGCTGAGTTCTTGGGTGGGTGCCTCTGTCTCCCCATTGCTGAACCCTGGGGTAGTGAGGGGTCTGGGGTGCCAGACAGGAGGAGCAGGACCAACAGAAGTAAAGGGGTGAGGTCAGGAGGAGTCCCCAGGCCCTGGGCAGAGATGCTGGGAGGAGCTTGGTTCTCTAGGCAGCTACCCAGTAACATTTATAGGTCCGGCCAAGCCCAAACCTACAGGTGTTTCACCTACCACATTCCTACCTGCTCGGAGCAGGCGCACAAGCTGCCTGCCTTCTGCGTTTTGGGTGGTTCTCTATCCACTCTGCCTTCAAGCTGAGCTGGGCAGCACCTTGGCTACCTCGACTGAGCAGGTAGGGGAATAATCATGAGATAATAGCAGTAAAAACAAGGACAAACAATAAATAGCCAAAAGGTGGGAAGGACCCAGGTGGCCACTGACAGATTCATAGATAAGCTGTGTGGTCACGGGCATGTAGACAGAAGGGTAAGACGCAGAGAGCAGGGTGTGTGTGACAGGAGTGCTAGGTCTCCAGTGAGGGTGTGTGTAGGTGATGTGTACATACCGGGTGTGTGCACTGGTGTGTGTGTGTATGTGTGTGTGTATGGGGGTGGTGTATGGGGTTGGTGGGAAGGAGGAAGGTGGATCAGCTTGGGGAGGAAAATAGGCAACGTGTGTGTGTGTGTGTGTGTGTGTGCGCCAGTGCACACTCAGGAGAGCACATGGGGCTCCAGAGGAATGTGAGACATGCAGGGAACAGTGACAGCCGACAGCTCCATGCCAATGGGGGAGGGGGCAGAGGGCAGCTTTTCCTGGTGGCTGGGGTCATGAGGCTCTGGGAGGGGACACACAACTGGCAAGGGTTCCCAAACACCTTCCCACCTGAATCCTCCAGCCACCAGGCAGCCCCCCAGCACCCCAAAGACCAAACATGTTCCCCCTGGTCCCCACTGGCTGCCACACCCAGAGCTGGAGCCCAGCAGAGCTCTGAGCCAGAGTCCATAACATTCCTTGGAAAATCAACAAAGTCAGGAAAGGCAGGAGTGCTTCCCCTGCCCCTGGGCGGGACCCATGAGGTGAAGGTGGCAGCACCCTCCTGGCAGAACAGCCATGAAGCCTGTGCAAGGGCACAGG